TAGTCCAAACATAGAAGCAAGTGGAGTGGTCACATTAATTTCAGGCTCAATGTTTGGGATAGTATTTTGAATATAATTTGTATGAATATAGATATATATGCTTATATGTATGTATCTATATATGGGGGGGTGTATACACAGGCAAATATTTCAGAGACTTGTTTGCTTGTTTTAGTGTTGAAAGAGAGGAAAAAGAAGTCCAGACTCTTTTTTCTTTCCTGTGAAATCTCATTCAGAGAGTTTTCAGAATTTTAATAGCTTATGAATTCTAATATTTTGTATATTTTTTAATATGGTATGTGATTATTCTGCTTTTAGGCTGTATCACCAGCTCTTCGGTCATCAAAAATGCCCGCAGCAGGGTCTGAGGAACGCCCCGTGGGGAAGGATGGTAGAACAGCAGTGCCGTACCCACCAAGTAAGTAGCAACAACTGGTTACCGCTTTGTTGGCAGTTACAGTCTCCTTATTGCTACCATAATGCCTTTTTAGGAGCCTTATAATGTCACTTTTTCAGCACTAAGAGGTAGTGTGCTTATTTTGTTCTGTAATTCCCAGATGCCAACATTAAAAGAGGATAAGCAGATTTTAAGGGAAACAGTGGATGGTAATAAATACATATATTTTTAACGTGCCTACTGAGATTTGATATGCTGTTCTGTTGACACTCTTGTCTTAGATAGGAAGCATGGGAGGGATTTGTTACAAATCTTCGTTTAGAAGCTGTCCCCTCTGTTCTCAGTTCAGTATTTAATTTCAGTTTGTCACTTACACCATTACCACATCCTTCTCTAACTACAAATCATTCTTCTTTTTAAAGAATTCAGAGAATTTAAAGCTGTGACTTTCCAACTGGCCATTATGGTGCAACCTGTCTTGGAAGAAAACTGCATTCAGCATTTGACAAATTCAGACTAAAATCACTTTCAGGGTTTAATCTAGTTGTGGAAGTGCATGATTAAAATAGAAGAAGTAGGTTCTAACTGAAGACACTTTGTACACCTTTTACAGATATCAGGAAAAATTTCTTCACCAAAAGAGTAGTAAAGCACTGGAACAGGCTGCCCAGGGAAGTGGTGGAGTCACCATCCCTGGAGGTATTTAAAAGACAGGTAGACATGGTGTATAAAGACGTGTTTTAGTGGTTAATGGTTGCACTTGATGATCTTAAAGGTCTTTTCCAACCAAAATGATCCTATGATTCTATTATTCTGTTTATATAGGTGGCATTTCTCTTGAGCTGAAAGAGAAATGTGTGTATGTTTGTGTGAGAGGAGGAAGGTGAGCTGTTCTGGTATAATACTAACCAATCATATTATGAATTACAAATTACTCAGTGGTGAGGAGGAAGAATGTTTGATTTTTGTGGCTGCTATAAGCTGAAATCAAATTTCTCTGTAAATCATTCTTTAATGCCTTCTCATTAACTTTAGCTGGTAATGAGAACAAATTGAGGAGAAGGAAAAAACCAGTCTGAAGGAGATGAGTCAGAGTTTTATGGACCCATAAAAGCTGTGCTGATTTACTCAAATGTAGAAGTCTGAAGTATACAGAGATTGGATTTTGACAGGTTTAGTTGATCCATAGCTTTTTAAAATATGCAAAGCTTTTTCAAGCATGACACACATGAAAATGAATAATGATAGTTAGCCTGTTGCTGTAGGGTTGGGGGATTTTTTGTAATTAAACTTTTTTATGAATCTGCACTGCAGAATTTTGCTAACTAGAGTGAGCTTGAGTGTGAGAAAATGATATACTGCTGAGCTGTATGACATGAGTTAGATACACTCCACTCCTGTTTTGTAGCTGTCCCCTTGACACCAGCTGTCGAGGCACAGCAGTATCTGCCGGGAACTGAAATGCCGTGTACATCATCATAGAGTCCCACTGACCACATTTCACTGTAACCTTCTTTCCTGTCCCCCTTCCTCCAGTTTCTAAAGCACGCTTCTCTTTGTTGAAAACCAGAGGTAGTAGCTAATCCAGCTGGCATCCTGAAGATTATATTTCATGTCAGCACTGGGTGGAAAATAGATTTTTCCTGTTCTACTGAACCTGTATTCAACATTAATTTATCTGATAACAGGACAAGACTAAGGTCTTTGAAATTTTTAATTCAAAGATTGAGGGGTTAAAAAAATGTAAAAAGAGCTGAGTGGAAATAATTCATAGCCCATTATTTACTCTGCTACTCCAGGTTGTGAAAGACTTTGGGTTCAGCTTTGACTGTTATTCCCAACAGAACTCCATTTTGAGAGGACTTGACCTATTTGAGTTGTTTCAATTTATCTAAAGAATTAAATAGATTGGCTGTCTCATCTCCTGCACAAAAGAACAGAATTCAGGTTTTGGCTCTGCCAAGGCAGAGTGGAGGCACATCCTGAGGTAGCAGCATACTACAGAAATGTACTGTTAGTGTGTATATTCACATACTATTCATAATTTTAATCCCATCACTTACTTCTGTTTTTTTGAAGTTTTGGGTTTCACTCTGTTTCACCAGTTTGGATTTCCCCAGTGCCATGTTTACCGCTCAGAAATCCATCTGTATTTATTTATGAATTTTCCAGAATCTTTAGGCTGCAGAAGTTACTGAATTTGACAGTATGTCCTTGTGTCCTGTCAGCTCGGGTTGGATGTATGTGTAGGAACGGAAATGGAATTGGGAGTTTAGTCTGTCAGAAAAAGTATTTAAGAAGAGACACCTGTGGGAATTTACCCTTCTCTAATCTGAGTGTTTTAACAGTGAATTCACCGGAGTGGTTATGTCCAGAGAATATCTGTCCTAATTCAAGTCAGGAACAGATAGCATGTATTCTGAATTTCAAGCAAAATAAATATGGAAGCTGATAGCTGGAAGGAGAAAGAAGGTAGCTGGGGAGAAAAAAGAGGACATTATTCTGATTTTTATTTGATTGCATTACACTTTATTAAGCACTTCTGTTGGGGTTTTTTGTTTGTTTGTTTTGCTTAAAGAAGAAAAATATACGATGGATGATTACATTATGTTCATTTACTGAGAAGTAATTCAGAGATTTTCCTGGCTTAATGTCTTGTGATGCAAAATTATAATTTTGTGGCTTCCTCTGTCATTTGTCACTTTTGGATGCCTAGCAGTCTGATTCCTCAGCAAAATTGCCTGTTTGTGTTAGCAACAGTAGCCTGTCCTCTCTTCAGGAGTTATGTCACTATGGACCAAACGAGACCACAGTGCCTGTATGTCAGTGGAAAAACGCAGCTGAGCGCACACTAATTCCAAAAGCCTCCCATTTTAGGGCTCGGTGTCAGCTCTAAAAAAGGGAAGAAACTGCTCCGTTCCTCCTTAGTGACATTTGCTGGGGTGAACTTTGCATTAATGTCAGTTTGTCTCTTTTATTATTAAATACTTTTTTTGTTGTTTTTAAAATTGTACATAGAATTTATGTCTCCACCAGTTTCTTGTTTCTGCTGAACAATAAGCTTGCAAAGTATCCCTAGGAATTAACTTTTCATCTAGATGTATACTGGTGTCAGGACTAGTAAGTCTGTAGAATCTTTGCTGGTTTTGAACTGATTAAATAAGAGCTAGTGTTGAGTAGGTCACTTCTCTTTATTGGATTTCCGTGAGAATTTGTATTTTAATGATTAACGGTGCATTATTTCATCATATTTAGCTGTGGCAGATCTCCAAAGGATGTTCCCAACACCACCTTCTTTAGAACAACACCCTGCCTTCTCCCCAGTAATGAGTTACAAAGATGGAATAAGTTCAGAGACTGTGACTACCTTGGGAATGATGGAAAGTCCCATGGTCAACATGGTTCCAACACAGCTTGCTGAGTTTAAAATGGAGGTGGAAGATGGATTAGGTAGCCCTAAACCTGAAGAAATTAAGGTAACATGCCAAAGATGTGGTATTTTCATCATCTCATCTATGTATGTTTTGATTTTTATAAACAAGTCACGTGTAGTGTGTGTAGCAGGCTACTGTAACAAATGAGAATGGGATCCATATAAAGTACATACCAGTTATTAGTTGGAAAAAAGAATATCTTCTCATGTAAAAGAGCTTTTTAATTGTTTCCCTGATCTTAACTAGAGGTATTTTTCTTCTTGTAAGTTTATGTTTGTAATGTTTTTGGGTGTTCTCAGGAAACAAACAATATTGTATGTGAAATGAGCCCTATGTCTAACAGAAAGAATTGTACGTATTTGAAAAAGCGTCCTACTTGTGACTAAGTAGCTGTTAAATGATTTATTTCTTCAGATAACTTTTCTGTAGCACCTTTTATGTATAGCCACTCCTTGCTGCCAGTCTCTGGGGATGCAGCGAGGATAAAGTCATGCATGTAGAAAGGCTGCCTTTTTCTCTCTGAAATGTTGCCTTTTTTGGTTAGGGTTGAAAATCTCTGAGAAAGCCCAGGGGTTGAACTTGCTCTGTTTCTTCTTCAGCTGATGTTACTTCACAAGTTTTAAGGCCAGATGGGACCATTCTTATCTGACTTTCTGTATAACACAGGTCAGGTAATGTCACATAGTTACTCCTATATTGAGTCCTATAGTGTATCTGAGTAAAGAACTATTTTTAAATGGGGACTCTGCTGCTGGGTACTAGTACTCACCTCCCCGACCTTACATATCAAGATGTATCCATTTTTCCATAGCATCACATAACAGGACTTAACATAAGCACCCAGCGTACATCGATTTGTATTTCATTGTTCCATCTTTAGCACAGGTTAAGAGGTAGGATAACGCCATTCTGCCTGCTTCTGTGTATTCTGCATTAACTTAACTTTTGGGGCCAATTTCTGTCACTTTTGTCAGAAGCTGTCGTTACCATATTTCCATGCATATAGCCTGACAGGTTTGGTTTGGTTTGTTTTTTAAAGATACACATTTCCTTGTAGAAATACACATCGCCTTGTTCTGCAGCAAGCTCATTTGTGCACAGGTAATAAAAAGGGAGATACACACTATAACTCTGTCCTCCTGGTAGTCCCCAGCCCTTGATTTTATGGCCTAATTCTCCTTCAGGCCCACCCTGTCCCTAATCAGCCACAGCCTGTTCCCTATTGCAGGAGCCATTCCTCTCCCCAACACCACCTCCTGCCCTCTCATTTTGTGCCCCTGTGAATGTTGGAATTAACCATAGGCTGAACTTTTAAGCATCTGCATTGTTGAGAGAGCTGTACAAAAAAAGATGTAGCACTTGCAGTTGCATGGACAAGAAGTGGCTATATATCAATATGAGAATACTGATATATAAATTTATCGTAGTATAAATGATTTAATCAGCTATGAATTAGTACATTTTCCTGCATGGCAGTAGTAGTACACCTTAGGGATAGTAAAAGTAAAGAACAGGCAAGCCACAGGGTGACTTTCTCCAAAGAGCATTCCGTTTTGTCCCTGGGATGGGAGGAAGCCCCTGTCCCTGGGGGGAAGTGAGGCAGCTTGTTGCATTCAGAGATTCTGTCTCCATATCATGATGAACTGTGTCTAGTCAGACCCAGGAGCTACCAGCTCCCAGGGCTGCAGAGGAGGCTGACACCTGGGAAGGGGCTGAGCTGGCAGAGAGCTTTTACAAACAGTTCTGTTGAGAGAGACTTTGCAGAAGTGTCAGGGAGTGAGTTATCCCTGTGCCCCTCGTGAAGACAGGCAGCCATCTGGAAAGCTGAGCACGTAGCAAGTCTGCTTGGTTATTGCAAGATCTCCTAACTTCATAACTTGAAGGCATGATGACAAAAGGCATCTTCTTGGAGCTTTGCTGGAGTACAGCTGTCCATTTGCCTTGTATAGTTTGTGTATCTACCAATTTTTATACCATCATAGAAGTTTGAAATAAGATTTTTATAAGGTTTGTAAGACTTTGCCTTGCCACGGACCTTGCTGCTTTTTTTCTGCTGTTTCTGCAGTAATCTCTTTGCTTAAGACTAGTGTAATTTGGGCCTGGAAAGAAAATCTGTACTGGAATTTGTTGAGCTGAAAGTTTTTGAGTGGGAACAGATTTTAGCGTGCCATTGATACCGAAGATATTTTAATCTCCCTCACAACCATTTTAGGAGTATTAAAATTCATATTTTAATTCTGCCTGATAACATTTCCAACAGCACAGTTTACTTGCTTTCAAGTGTGTCACACCTGCTCATACACACCAGTGGGGGAAACGAGCACCTAAACCCATTGCTAACCATTTTGAGAACATGGACGTAGATTTCTTGCGCTGAATATTCAGCAGATGAAGATAGCAATCCACACATTACTCATCTCTCAATGCTTTACGAGGTGCAAGGGAAAATGTAAAGATCTAAATACTGAAATTCTGAGAGAGACTACTGTTACTGTTGTAATCATTATTTTCACTTTGCAGTAGTGCCTCAAAAGGATTAGCTCTTTTCTTCTGAAAGAAACTTGGAATAGCTCTAGAAACTCTGGCTGAAGTTCCTGTCATTCTCTGCAATCAAACATGACAGTCAATGAAAGTCCAGTTGGACTGGACTTCATTTATGTTTATATTTAATATTATGTTTACTCGATTGTTTATATATTTATATTTGATACTCTCTTTATATTTGGGATGTGTAAAATGGCCGCTTTAATTACTTGGATTATACTAACCCCCAACGTGGGGGTTATTCAGAGAGGCTGATTTAAGGCACCTAAGGTTTCTTCACACTGTGACTTGGCCTCTCTCTCCATTGTCAGTATAAAAGTCTTGCAAAGATCATCTCTGTTAAGTGCCTACATTAGGTGCTTAAAGTTAGGTAGTATGAAAATTCCATAGTACACTACTCATTTTCCAGACATTGCTTGTCTTTAATGAATCTAATCTAATTGTGAAATCTACTGACATTAAAGATAAATAGCATCTCAGTGTAACAAGGAGCCTGAGCTGGGTTTCCTTGAAGGAACTGCTCTTCGGTGTTTTGTAGAATGAATAAATATAGTTAATTTTGGAAAAAATGCAATTGTAGAGGGTTCAAACAGTACAATAGGTTTTAATTAAAAATAAATATCTGAATATAAAGAGCAACCTTGCCATATTGATGTAAACAGTGTCACTTGGATGTTACAGGATTTTTCGTACGTGCACAAAGTTCCATCATTTCAACCTTTTGTGGGCTCCTCCCTTTTTGCTCCACTGAAGATACTGCCAAGCCAGTGCCTCCTACCTCTGAAGATACCAGATGCCTGCATTTTCAGGCCTTCTTGGGCTGTTCCTCCTAAAATTGAACAACTTCCTTTGCCGCCTGCAGCCACTTTCATTAGAGATGGCTACAAGTAAGTACAGTCTTGTAGGAAATGAGTTTGTCATGCCCGTACCTGAAATGGCTCGTTAATGAAAATGTTTGTATGTATTAAGTGCTTTACTACACACCAGAACCATAAAATAACCTGCATGTGTATTTTAAACCTACATTTGTCATTGAGAACAAAAAAGTTCTGATAGTAGGAACGTTTGAATTAAAAACAGCTTTTGGAAATTGGTGATGTTACATACAGTATGTGTCCACTACACTCTTGAGTGGTTTTAAAAGAAAGGAATATGTGGTACTTGAATTAATTGCAATTTCTGATACAGGAAAATATTGTAATTCAACATAAACCAGAAGTGTTAGGGAATGAAATTAATGCACTTAACCTCTCACCTCCCTGTCCTCCCGTTTCCATATCCAGTTCTCTAGCCAGCAGTTTGTACTTGTGTGTTCAGTTTGAGCTTCGGTCTGATGGTACCTGGTCCTGATGACACCAGTTTGCCTTCTGAGAGCTCTTAAAACTTCGAGTCAGCCTGTGACAGCTCTCCTCTCCATGTTCTCATGTTAGATTTTCTGAGTTCTTGTGATTTACCCTGAGTAGGTCACACGTGGAGCTGCTGATCAGACAGATGCTGATGGGATGTGTGCTGTCCTCCCCTTGCTAAACACAAGAAGAAAAGATGCCGGATATGAGAGTGCTGTGACCTATAAGCAAACGTTGCTGTTAAATTGCAAAGCTTGTGTTCCTTACTCAATTCTCAGAAATCAGCAGTGTTTGTGGGAGAAATTCATTGCTGGAGATTTTGAAAGCTATCAAGAATTTGCACCATTAAATTCATAAAACCTCTTTAAAGGCATAATAATAGTAGAAAGATCTCCTGCTGCACTGCATTGATTTCTAGAGGAAGTAGCCTGTATCTTTAAATCAGTCTGTAAATCCTTCAAATCAGTCATTTTCCAGCTCCAAAGGATCCTTCACTGTTCTCAAAAGAATTGCAAAAAAGAAATTGTAAACCCTTGATAGTGCCTAGGGAGCAATTTAATTCTCAGGTTTTTTTCATAATAGTAACTGATTCACCAGGCCTGAGCTGGTTATTAATTTCAGGTATTTGTTGGGGAAAAAAACCCCTTTCATTTTCAATATAATTCAATTAGAGTGAAGATTATTACTGCAGGCTTCCGACAGAGTGGTGATTGCCAATCAAGATTTCTAGGTCACCTTTTCTTACGAGTCTGAGGCATTCACTATGCTTCAGATTCAGAACTCCTTCAAACCTTGGTTCATTTTTTTTTTCTCTGTCTTGCTTTGAGTTGGACATACATCAGTGCAAGGTAATGAAATGATTCAATAAAATGATTCTCAGGAATAAGGTCTTCACTATTTTCCTTTTCAAGTCACTAATGATATGTGAGCGTTAAAATAGTACTTCTTTTAAATAACACACAAAATACACAGTAAGAACAGACAAACCTGAGAAAAACCTGTTTCCTCTCCTTTCTCGAGTCTCACCGAGTTCTTACACTTTTTCCTTGCCCTCATGTGTAATGAACACATTTCAAGAAAAGTGAGCAGCTTATTAGCAGCTTGGAAAGAGAAAAGTTAAGTAAAGATCTTCTTATGATTGGCCCCATATTACCCGTTTCTTGATATAATGAGTCATTCCAAAGAGGGGATCAGTCTCCTGGGAATGTACAAACTGTTCTTTGGTCACTCGAATTTGGCAGAAAATGACAAAACCAAAGTAATAAAAACCAGGTATGACAGGAGGTGACCCAAAAATGTGATTCTTACCTTTACTGGACTAAGAGTTTGTAATGGAATGTGTCATACTGTGCTGTAGACTGTGTAATCCTAACTAAGTATTTGCATTTATAGTACCTGAAATACTTTTTTACCAGTTGCACACCACCATGAGGCAATAAATAAAGTGCCAGATGCATGACCTCTGACAGCTATTTAAAGTGATGACTTCTAAAATAAATTAAGATTTCTATGCCTCTGAAATATTTTCTTTGTTTCCACTAATGTCTGTCTATCTACAGATAATTGTGTTTAAAACAACAACTACAATTCTTTCTCTTTTCCCTAAAAGCGTTACAAATATCCTAAAATCTTAACTCGATAATTTATCTAGAGATTCTTCTCAAGAGCATTTGAGTTTCAGGCCATGGGAATAATCTTTAAGAGGGCTCAGTGCCTGAGATGATTCCTTTTTATTATACTGATAAAAAACAATGGTGTTCATGATGAGAATTACAATTTTAGTTGAGAGATGTCAGTAGAAGGTCATGAGCAGAATGTCTAAAGGTGTTTTCTTCACTACAGTTACAGTCAATCCTTTCAGTTTTCACCATCTCCTTGTACTTAAAAATCAGTTTTGACAAACTCATTCTTCACAACCAACCCATTTGTGATGGCATTTGACTCCGTTTTTCATGTATTTCTCCTAGCAATGTGCCTAGTGTTGGGAGTTTGGCCGACCAAGACTATCTTCAGATGAACACTCCTCAGATGAATACACCAGTGACGCTAAATAGTGCTGCTCCGGCCAGCAACAGTGGAGCAGGAGTTCTGCCGTCACCAGCGACTCCCCGCTTCTCTGTTCCTACCCCACGCACTCCCAGGACCCCAAGGACTCCTAGAGGTGGGGGTACTGCGAGCGGTCAAGGATCTGTAAAATACGACAGCACAGATCAAGGTTCACCTGCTTCTACCCCTTCTACGACACGGCCGCTGAATTCTGTGGAGCCAGCCACTGTTCAGCCCATCCCAGAAGCCCACAGCCTGTACGTCACCTTGATTCTCTCAGACTCTGTGTTGAACATCTTCAAAGACCGTAACTTTGACAGCTGTTGTATATGCGCCTGTAACATGAATATTAAAGGGGCAGATGTCGGGTTATACATCCCAGACTCATCTAACGAGGATCAGTACCGCTGCACCTGTGGCTTTAGCGCGATTATGAACCGCAAATTAGGTTACAACTCTGGGCTCTTCATTGAGGATGAGCTCGATATTTTCGGCAAGACCTCAGACATTGGCCAAGCTGCAGAAAGACGGCTGATGATATGTCAAAGCAACTTGATCTCTCAGATGGGAGAGGGAGCTAGAAGGACCCAGGAGCCTCCCATGAGCCTCCTCCTTCTCCTCCAGAATCAGCACACACAGCCTTTCACATCTCTGAGCTGCTTGGATTATATGTCCTCCAATAATCGGCAGACGCTGCCGTGTATGAACTGGAGTTACGACAGACTGCAGGCAGACAGCAACGACTCCTGGATAGAATGCTTCAATGCCCTGGAGCAAGGCAGGCAGTACGTGGACAACCCCACTGGTGGGAAAGTGGATGAAGCCCTCGTAAGAAGTGCCACTGTCCATTCTTGGCCTCACAGCAATGGTATGGGTCATACACATGTTTTTTTTCTTTGATTTTTTTGTGACCTCTCTACATTTGTTGTGAGCCACTGCCTTCATCTTTATGTGGGAAATAACATGCGTAAAAATATTCTAGAATTAAAGTCATTTTCTGAAAGCTTTCTGAATTGCATCTAAAGTGCCAGTAATCCAGTTGTCCTTAGACTGACTGTGTGGTCTGAATTGTGTAAGAGTCTCTGGGAGCATGTAAATCTAAAGCAGAGATGCAAAACAAATTGAAGTATTGAGGGGAGGGCAGAATTATGGCCTTTGTTTTTTTTTGGAGAAGGGTATAAGTCAGCAGAAAAGAACTGCTCTGTATGAAAGTGTCACCAAGGAACAAAAAAAGTGATTTTATAAACAAATATTACCTGTTTATATGCTGAAGATGCTCTGGCTTCTTATGAACGGAGCTGGACAACAGCAATATTGAAAGGTTTGTGAAAAGGACTATGATGACAGCTTCTTTCAGTAACGTTTTCATACAATAACACATTAAATGCCATTAAGCTAATTAGAGTTGTACAAATTTTATGAGCACTGTGAAGAGCAATACAAAGGAACAATAAACCAAAAAATGTTGCCACCTCAAAATAATTCTTCCTGTTCCTCGCTGAAAATGATTGATGTTCCTTTGTCATTTGCAGTGCTGGACATCAGCATGCTCTCCTCCCAGGATGTGGTGCGCATGCTGCTGTCGCTCCAGCCCTTTCTCCAGGACGCTATCCAGAAGAAACGAACGGGAAGGACCTGGGAGAACATCCAGCACGTGCAGGGACCACTCACCTGGCAGCAGTTCCATAAGATGGCAGGACGGGGAACCTATGGTACGTACATTGTGGTATATGCCAATAGTTAACACAAAAGCATAGTGTTCTACAAGTGTGCACTTTCTTCTGGAAATACTTGGGAACAAATGGGCTCTTCATGGAGCTTTAAAATGCCTTCCAAGGCATCTGAAGCACACGCTTGAGTGCCACAGTGGAGGTTTCATCCAGATCGATGAGTATTTAGAGTGCAGAAATGCTGGGTGAAGATCAGCCTCCCTGTTTGAATCTGTGTCTTGGCTTGGCCTGAGATAGCTGGTGTAAAACTGACGTGAGCAGAGGAAGCTGTTCAAATTGTACCAAATCCTAACAGGAAGAGCAGCTTTGAGCTGTACAGATACTGAAGAGGCGGGTGGGTACGCTTTCTCCACAGAGAGTCTTGCTTCTTCTAAGGTTTCCCACAGTCTTAATAAGACATGTCAGTTTAAGTATCTCCTGGCTGTAAGTGACACTTCTGGAAAATACAGATTACAGAATAGATTTTGTATGTGCACAAAATGATGATGACATGTGAATAATGACTGACATGTACATATGGATTCCTCACCTGCAGTTTATTTCAGTTTTAACCGCGCAGTCTGACTTAGTTTATTTTTCTGCGGTTCCATTGTGCTTTGCTTTATTTTCTCTCTGTTGGTATTTGAGCTGTTGCTGCTTTCCTTGGGGGCAACTTGCAGTAACTACAGTTCCTGTCTAAAGCTATTGTGCTTCACGAGGAGTACTTCAAATCATTTTTCCAGCATTTGTAACTTTAGGAGTTAGGATTTGCCAACTGTTACCAGAGAATAAAACCAAAATTACCATATAGGAAGTAGCAGAGACTTGGATATAGATTCAGTAATTTTTACCGAATGTTGACTTTTTAATTAAGTTGGATGATATTCTGCAGACACTACTGGGTATATTTTCACTTGAAATTTTCAACAATATTTCTTCTAATGAGCACAATGTCTGGGAGATACCATGTTAAACTGGATGGTGATCCTCTCGGCTGTGAGAACAAGTGCTCTGGAGCACTTCCTATGGAGAGAGGCAATTTTTAGGATTCTGATAACTTTGCTTAGTATTACATACCTGGGAATAAGTTTGCCTGACCATTTAACTTACTAATTTTGCACAGCCAGGTGGAGGTAGATGAGGAACTGTAAAATCAGATTTCATGTCATTACTTTGGATTGAGTAGGAACTCGTGAGATGTGGTTATGCTTATGACAAAGGAAAACCACGAGATTAAGCCTTGAGAAGGGCAATACATGTATTTACAGCACACTGAAAGATGTTTTATTGCAACTTTCTAGGAAAGTTTAAATGGTGCTTGGATCAGCTTCCTCTACTTTGCCTGACTGAACTTTGATTTTATGACATTTCTTAAGTACAATATAAATCTTTCTTCTCCTTTATTAAATATTTTTTTCCCAAGGAAAAAGACTGTGGGAGAACGTGGTTTCTCAGGCATGATACAGCTCCTTACATGTCTCCACTCTGTGGTCAAACTTCTAGGAGACTCAGCTTGGCAAGGGATTAGTGATTTCCAGTATTCCTGTAAAAGAACCCACTTCCTGGTACATCAGAGAGCCCACTGCAGTTAAACCAGTTATTTTAACTTTTTTTCTTTCTTTCTTTCTTTCTTTTTTTTCTTTCTCTCATATTTTCGGATAATAAATTACTTATTTTAACAGAGAAACAGACTTTTAAAAAAAGGACTTCCTGACAATCTCTCCGTTCTCTTTGCCGTTCTGGGAGAGGCTGTTGCTTGACCCATACGGGGGCCATCGGGATGTCGCCTATATTGTCGTGTGTCCAGAAAATGAGGCCTTGCTCGATGGAGCCAAAACTTTCTTCAGGGACTTGAGTGCTGTATACGAGGTTGGAAAGAGGAACCACACTGAATTATTTCTTCTTAAGTGTCATTTCTGCTCCACTGCATGCTTATTGGGAGAAATCCATGGGTTTTTAAAGTAACGATTACTTGAATAAGGTTTTCTTTCATTTTGAGGACTTTCTGCACATTCAGAGTCCAAGAATAATTGGAGTTACACTGTGACTCTCTGTGCATTTCAGGGTTTTTGTTGCCATCTGCTCTTCCCAGCACACATTCTCTTATTTTACAGAGGATCTAACACTAGGATTCATACAGTTGCAACCTAACACACAAAAGCCCAACCAAACCTAAAGAGGAGGGAGTAGATTAAAGAATCTGTTGCTTTCTTGTAATTGCTGGGCTGGAGATAAAACCATTTCCTATGTTAGATGCACATTAGCTAGTACTGAATGTGTAAGATTACTTTGTAACCTTAGTTCTGCTGTAAGTGCAATTCAAGTCCACAGATAAGTGTAGCCTTTTGGTTTTATATTTATTAAGAAGCCACCAGATGTGTGCTGGTAATAAAGGGTTTAGCTACAAACCAGTCTGCATGACTTCCTCAGGTGCTTGGCATCTAGTTACAGGCGTTTCTTCTTTCCTCACCAGATGTGTAGACTTGGCCAGCACAAACCAATCTGCAAAGTGTTACGCGATGGGATTATGCGGGTGGGAAAGACTGTGGCACAGAAGCTGACGGACGAGCTGGTGAGCGAATGGTTTAACCAGCCTTGGGGCACTGAGGAGTGTGACAATCATTCCAGACTCAAACTTTACGCGCAAGTTTGCCGGCATCACCTAGGTAAGTCTACCACGGCGTTAGCAAGGCTGTCTTGTTTTCTGTAGGTATATTACAGTTTATTTGCAGTAGGTGGAAGCAGGGGAGTTTTTCCTAATGTACGGATTATGATATATTTAAAAATTAAAAAAAAGGTATTATGAGGCTTTATCTTAATTTCTTAATCACTTCCGTGCTAAATTTGCCTACTTTAGAAAGTTTTCTTACGAAAGTATTATCATGTCACAGATTCAAAAGCCAATTCTTACCTTTTTAGGAAAGTCAGTTTGGTATAAGACATTTGTATGTTTCTAAGCAGTTCCACACAAGACTGAATGTAAAATTGATCTGGTTTATATCCTACTAATATGGATGATCACACCACTGTGACAGAATGCTGTGCGTGGTGCCTGCAGGTACAGCATTGAGTTATATAAAAGGCGAGGTCACTAAAGCTGCAAAGGAAGCAAGAATTAACACAGGTGGAAAAGAGAAAGTGCACACGTAGGTGAGGAATTGGGCAGGGTATTGGAAACTTCCCCTGCTGGCGATTTACCACCTCTGAGAGTAAATAAATAATAAATATTCTTTTACTTATTTTTTATTCATTTGTTAGTTAAAAATAATCGCTGTGATATCTCTTTCTCTGCTACTGAGGAGCACAAATAACTATATTAAGGTTTGCCATTATTGTAGCTCAGGTAAAAAGGACTTCTAGTTTTTCAGTCTGACAGAGATAACCTGTAGTAGATTGCAAAGCTGAGCGCTATATAGAGCTGTTATCACCACACGATCTAGCCAGAGGTAATGACATGTCAGTACCAACCTGGATACACAAAGCTCTGCAAAGTCAATCCTGATTCCTATCAGTTAGAACTGAAACCCTGAAAAATGGATTCTAAAGTAAATATTTATAATGGAGTTTATATTCACTTAGCATTTTTATACTCTTAGAATATTCTAAAATCGCAGAAAATATTGTATGACTTTACGGTTAGTACAGTTCACTTCGATCTGACAGACTGTCATTAATCTCCTTCCCTCTTCATATGCCATTTCAGCACCTTACTTGGCCACCCTGCAGCTTGACAGCAGCCTGTTGCTCCCACCGAAGTACCAAACCCCAGCGCCAGCAGGCCAGACACCAACAGCAACTGGGAATACTGGACCCGTGCCCTCAAATCCCACCTGTCTTTCGGCTGCTGGGGCACCACCAACAGGCAGTTCCTTTAACTCCACGCCCAGCGGTGGGACCACCAGCCTTCCCACGGGAAGTAGTTCATCCTCTGGATCCTCTGTGCCACAACTGTCAGCATCTTCTGCAACACCCAGCGTTAACCAGATGGCCACTACCTCCACTCCAGGGTTTAGTGGGAGCATTGGTTCAGGGCAGAACACCAACACTGGGGGAAACACAGACCGCTCGCAAGGAAGCACAGGTCCCGGAGGAGAGACAGAGTCAGGTCAAAACTTACCACAGCAGCAGCAGGAAGGACAGGAAGGGTAAGTTACTTAAGTGCTCCAGTGACTCAAAGTACTTCTAATTAAATCAGCTGTTCTCCTGTTTCATGTAACTCACAGCCTTTAAGCCTTATGTAAATCCTTGAAAGGAGAGTTCCCCCTGAGCCGTGCAGTACTACTGCCCAGCTGTAAGTGGAGCAGGGCACATTTTCATTTGTTCACAGCAGTTCCTGATAAAGGGGAGCTGGAGAAAAAAACTTCTCCTTTTTCATTATGAGGAACAGAACTTGATTCAACTGCACAAACATGGGTGGTGTAGTGCCCTTTGGGATGCCTTAGGATACCCCACCTGGCCTGTGTTTGCAGGACCCCCTCCCTGGAAGTGTTCTCGGCCAGGTTGGATGAGGCTTTGAGCAACCTGGTCTAGTGGAAGGTGTCCCTGCTGCTGGCAGGGGGGTTGGAACTGGATGAGCTTTAAGGTCCCTTCCAATCCAAACCAGTCTGGGATTCTATGATTCTATGACAAGAGAAACACGAGGTGTCTATAGGTCCTGTGCCGTACCCACTGGCTTGGTCTCATACGTGTCAGGTACTGCGGGATGTCTCGTGGACTGAATGCCTCTTACCTTGGGAACTCCATCATGCCTGTCATGTTAGATATCAAACGCAATCCAGGGATTTTTTTTTCCTGGTTTTCCTGCATTACAAGTATTGTGTTGCAAGCAGGTGCACTGTGAGGTTAGGAAACAGGATTATATTGTTACTTTAAAATAAATTTTAGCAGCGCAACTTTTTTAAAGACTTCATTATAAATAGTCATCCATCAAACATAAAAATTAGGAAAAGGTTTTTTAACATCTCATGTAAGTAACTTCCTGAGTGAACATGTTTTTCATTACTCTCATAATAATGCATATTACTGATAGTCGTGATATATGTTACGGAGTTCCTGGATCTGAAGTGAAAAGCCCACATCCTGTTGTAGTTTGGGTTATCCTTAAGACATCTGTTCACTGGATCTGGGCAAAATACCATTTTATCAACTGCAGCGTGGTTTCTGACCAAAGGAGTCTGAGCTGCTTTTTATCACTTACAGATGTTGAGCCTCCCATTCATGGTTGAGGCACGGAGGAGTGTTTTACCGAGTAAAAAATGTTCACTTGCTCCTTCCATTACCAGTGGAACCTTTTCTGTCACTGAACAGGGGACTCAGTCTCCAGGAATATTACTTTGGGACTTTTCCTCAGTTCTCAGTTCCTTCTCTTCCCCTTCCGCCTCTCCCAAAACACAACCCTAAACATCAGCAAAATCCAGACATGCACAAACATGACAAGAAAGCTCACAGAGCTCATATTAAGTCACCTTCTCCATATTCTTCAGTCATAATCTAATCTGATTGCATTAAATGAGATTATGTTAGACTTTATGCTAAGTATCTTTAAGGCATAATTATTAGCAGGCATTTGGGATTAAGAACTGCAGTGAGTAAAAGTCATCTCTCCTCATTCACTGGTGTCATCTTTTTTTAGTTTGGCTTCTGAACATAAGACTCCCTTAATACTCTCCTTTTTCCTCTTCTGCCTCAGCCTTGCACACCCTTACAGAAAACAAATAACGAGCAGTTGTTGTAACTTGCCTTTGAATCTGACATGGTGTGTGTCTCCAGTGTTACAGAGAGGGAGAGGATAGGGATTCCCACGGAACCCGAGTCTGCGGACAGCAATGCCTATCCCCCAGCAGTTGTCATCTACATGGTGGATCCTTTCACCTACACTGCAGATGAAGAATCTGCCTCCACCAACTTTTGGCTGTTAAGTCTGATGAGATGCTACACAGAGATGTTGGATAACTTGCCTGAGAATATGAGGAATTCTTTCATTCTTCAGGTAATTCTGCCTTCCTCTATCATTGCACTGGAGGGTCATTTTATCACTGTATACTTTTGATACTTGTGCTATACTGAAAGATACAAGATGGAAGATAAGATATCAAATTTTGGTGACATTTACAAATTATTTTGTTGACAGTACAAGGCTCTATGAAAAAACACTTGCTTTTGTTTTGAGGAGGAAATTAATTTAAGGCAGCCACAGTATCCTGGCGTCAAATCTGTGGCACGGTTCTGGCGATCCTATATGCTAGATGCTTCCTGAAGAGGGATTTCAGTTACTTAAGTTGCAACTTGGGCTGCCATTGCCAAAATTGTCCAGTTGCTCCTTTGATTACTTTGCATGTTCTGTTTGTTTTTTATATTTTATCTGATTTATACTTTTTAATCCAAAAGAAGTACGTGGAACCAGACATTTAATGCATGATTTAACTATTGTATTGTTATTATCTGCTTCTTAAAAATAATTTACCATGTAACTTAGCATATAATAATGGTTACTTACTATGGAATTACTTCAGAATTGAATTTGTGTAGGCTGAAGCAGAGCTTGGCCTGTTGCCCAGACAGGCTGCGTTTTGCCATGCCTCTGCTTCCACAGTGGCTGGGTCTGAATAAACGGGGGGGAGAACAGGCTATGCATGTGCCTGGGCAACACATGCAAGAAGCAGCATGTGAATGATTTCTGTGTACCGTGTTCATGGATGCTTAACTTGGCTTTAAAGTATTTTAATTTAAATGATTAAAAAAAAAATTCTAAGTTATCATAGCATCTCAAATTGGACATGGAAAACAGTTGGCACTTTTTGTAATTGCATCATTCCCTGAAATGATGAGGGAAACTGTCACCAAAATATTTTAGGCTTGGGGATGAACTGAAAATCAGATTCATAACTTCATGTTCTGGTAGACTGCAGCTAATTTAATTGATTTGGACTTGAAGATATTAAAAACAAAATAGCCAATGATATCACAGAGTCTGGAATACAAGAGCATTTAAACTATATATTGAAATTGTATCTTAGTCTGTGTAGGACAACTAATGGGCTTATGAATTCTACGTACTGGGCTGTTTATTTTCTGGGCACTGTTTATTTTCTGGGCACTTACTGTTTCTTTCTCAAAATACGTGGCATTTTGCCAATTTAAGTCAAAATAGTAGATGATTTTCTCTAAATAAAGAGTAACAGGATATAGTTACCAGCACAGTATTCTCACAGCTGTACCACAGTATACACAAACATACAGTTATTTCAAAATCAAATCAAACCCAAATGTTTACAGATTTATTAGAATTCATATATAGAGGGGAAAAGCTCAGCTCCTGAAATTGTTGGATAAAGAAGTTGTCTTGTAAAAACACAAAGTCACATTTAGTAAGTAGAATATTCTACCAGTTCCAAGGCTCAAGCAAGAACCATAGAGTAGTAAAAGTTTAGTGATATTTGAAGTTCTATTACAACTGAAGGTATTTGTTGAAAGAGTCTGCCTGGGTCTGGTGGTGTTATACAACGTAAATATTTTGTATTGGTAGTTTCTCCTCCAAAGATCTCACTGTTCCTTTCCACAGCCATGTACAGGACACTCTATTTCTCAACAGGACATTGAAAAACAAGAGTTTACAGGGATTTAATTCTGATTTTTAAAAGATTTGAACTGGAAAGATGACTTTTGTTATGCTTTGTTACCTTCTGAAGGAATGTTGTGCCATTTCTCCTCTCCATTCTTCTTGTGCCGATGGGTCTTAACCACCAGACTCAAACCTCCTGGGCAAATCTGACTGTAGTTCTGTTTCTTGCTTGTTGAATGTGTGAATTTAAGTGTCTTCCTTCACGTTACTTTCTGAAAGAAATAAAACTGGACAGCAGCATAAGACTGCTGAGGTTCCACTGTTAACTGAAAAGGAGAAACAACCACATAAACCATTACAATAGAATTTTAATTCTCCTTTCTACAATCTTCTTTAAGAATGACACTGCAGTGCAAACAAATACTAACTCTGACCACAAAGTATGGAACAAACCTGCTGAAACACAAAGGTCAGAATACTGAGGTGATACAGTAACAGCTACCTGTGAATAAAGATATTGATCAGAAAAGGTGTTTTACAAAAAGTCAAGTGTTTGAATATGGGTGTTTGGTTTTGGACTGAGGATTAAAAAAATTAAAACTACCCCCAAATTTTTTGAGTATTGCTTTTAAAAGCCATTAGTAGTTAGTACTTGTGGTATATTTTGATAAATGTTATATGTGTAATTAATTATGTGCCCTTCCACTTACAGTACGAGTGAGAAAGTGGACTTCAGGAAAATAAGACTTGATTGGGAGAATAATCTGTTCTTTTTGTGTAGCTATTTGTGTTTCTCATTTACTGATGTTTGTATCACAGAAGGCAAAATTTATGTAGAGTTTCTAGTAAGTGTTTGTCAGCTATTCCAGCTGTATTGTAGTAGTACTACAGGAAGACTCTTCTGTTACATTGGGCAGCAGGAGTCTCAGCTTTCTGAGGGGTTTTGCAACCTGAAATGAAATTCATCATTCTGATGGCAACAGCGGGTTTGTGTCGGGGAGGACAACTGCTGAGTGCTCGTGCAGGAGCTCTGATGGGAAGCTACAGAGCCCGCAAATAACTGAATACCATGTACAGTGTCGTGGATGTTAAATGACTTACAAATGTATAAATCTGGTTTGATATTAATGAACAGCTCTTTGAAGACTTTCAATCATGTTTTATTGGTTGTATGAATTTTATAGATCGTGCCTTGCCAGTACATGCTGCAGACAATGAAGGACGAGCAGGTTTTCTACATTCAGCACTTGAAGTCTTTGGCATTTTCCGTGTACTGCCAGTGCAGGAGGCCGTTGCCCACGCAGATTCACATCAAGTCTCTCACAGGCTTTGGGCCAGCTGCCAGCATCGAGATGACCCTCAAAAATCCTGAGGTAAGTCTTGGTGTCAAGAAAATGAAAACCTGCTAATAAACTGTAACAGCCTTTTTCAAATATCAAAAAAAAAAATTAGAGAAAATACTTTTAGGAGTATTTTTTCAAGGTAGAGAAGACAGTGATAATAAAAAGGGAAAAGGTAAGCTAACGCTAACAGAAAATAGTACGAGAAATGTCAGACTGCTTGCTTTCAGAACAGTTTCAGCTTCTGCTTTTGAGTCATAAAGTAAAAGGTTAAATTGAAGTTCAGTTTGAAAGAAGACAAAATGTATGCTGTTACTTGGGATGGTGAGATGTTTTGCAGTTCTAGTCTATAGTACTCCTACAAGAAAGTGTTCATGTCCAAACTTTATTTATATACATATGTATATATATGCATATATATGAAATAAGTTTCTGTGCCTAATTACAGATAATATATTAATTCCCTGAGGTAATCAAGAAATCCCCCTATTTTAGTGGGCTTATCTTTCATCTGTTTTTTAAACTGTAAATATTCAAGCCCTGTTTCTGGAATTTCAGGGATTTCAAAAGAAGAATAATCCATCCTACTTTCCATGAATGTTTTTCATTCTTTGAAAGATACCGATGAGTGTTTTATTTAGATTTAATGGACCAACTAAACACTTAAACACTTACCTTGGGATAAAGACATGCTTGTTAGGGTTTAAAAACCTCGTTTCAAAATCATCATAAAACCAAGCTATCAGCACGTTTCATGACTCACATAAAACCATAAGCTCTCACTGAAAATGTTTAAAAGCAGCATCACCCCAGGCGTCTCCTCTTCACATTCTCTCCGCACGCTTCCCTCAGAAAGGTACCTGT